ACTGCTGCGCTTATGAAACTGTGATCAGAGACACCAATTGGGGCACCAACACTGACATTAACCCATTGGTGCCGGGTATGACGTGTATGTATGTGCTATGCCCACCGTGAGTACTTGTTTAATTGTTTTTACGCATAGATGGCAACACTTGTACTAAATCACCAATGAGCCAACTACGAGTACCGCCCGTCTCGCTCATTTACCCGTTTCTTTGATTTACAAAACATTTTACGTAATCTTATTTTGCTGTTACTAATGTTAAAAAAACATTATAAAAATTATAATGTTTATGATAAAAATAACACCATCGACTTTCATAGCACTAGTGAAAAATACGTTTTTCCCGCCATTTCAAATCAGGCGCTAGCAGAGCCATCTATCGGCAGACATTTCACGAAAAACATAGAAAGTGGGCACAGCATTTTCTCCATTCTTTGTTCATTTCCCCCGGCACCATTGGGTTAAGAAGACCAGGAATATCGGCAAAAAAGAGATCAAGTGGTTTGAAACCAGAGAGACTAGAGAAGTAGGCAGCATGTCCATGACAATCTATTGGGAATATGGCATTGAGCTAGTGTGAATGGTGGGCATAAAAATCACCAAAACATAATTGGCTCTTGACTCTTTGCCATAGAAAGCAATGAGCAATCATATATGGAGTCATCTACATCAGGTATTCTATAAATAGCGAATATGTAAAAACAAAACAATAAAACAAATTTTCAGTGACATGATTTCATGGCACATGCCTTCACCATTCAAATACCGAGAAACACTAAACTCAGAGCAGAGGTAGATACACATCCCTTGTGCTCTAGGAATACTATTCCTTCTCAATAAGAAAGACCTGTTAAACCCCAGGAAGAAATAAATCCGATAAGTGCCGGTATTCAGAGACAAGTGCTTCCGAGAAACACACTATAGCTTTGCGAAATGCAGGCATAGACTAGACTTTTAAATTTTTAAGCCCCTAATATTTGTATACATAACTCTACAATATTTACCCCTGGTCCTGGATTGGGGAGAACATTGGCCGACAACAATAACAATAACAAAACAATAAAATAACAACAATAACAAAATAAAATAACAACAATAACAAAACAAAACAATAAAATAACAACAATAACAAAACAAAACAATAAAATAACAACAATAACAAAACAAAACAATAAAATAACAACAATAACAAAACAAAACAATAAAATAACAACAATAACAAAACAAAGTAACAACTAAGATAAAGTGCAATGTTATAGTACCCATAAAAAGAGAATATACAAGACAAATAAAATGGTCAACCTGGAGGCGCAGTCTTACCAGGCAAGGTTATAGAGCTTTCGAGCTATTGGTCGCCAGCTCACAGCTAATAGGCCGCTGACAATCAGGATGGCTATAATGCAAAGCTCTCTTAGCCAGTATACATCGCATTGCCTTGCCAGGCACAGCGTAGGATTTAGGGGAACTAAAAGAAAGGAAGCCCGGTGATGCCACAGGGAGAAGGATAATGGAAA